AACATTGAGAGCAAAAACATTCAAAGGTATTTTCTAGAAGAAAGTTTCTTTCTACAGGAAAACAAGTGAAATAGATTTTTAAGGTAAAGATCTGGCATGCCAAGAGTACAGTTACCTCTGGATGGCCTAGTATATTGAGAGAGAACAGAAATATGTTTTAAATTATTTTGCCATTCATCATACATTACTTAGTACCTATTCTTCTCGGAACTGTCCTTCTTTATTTGTTCTTTTTTTTTTTTTTTTTTTAATAAAAAACTTGTAGAGAAAGAGGAACCATTTTTTTTCTTGGAAATCCCAAGTAACAAAATGCACTTGAAGTATAAGGTTGAGTTTCAGAGGAAGTGAAAGCATGCACAGGCTATTAAATCGATGAACGCATGAGGATGAAAATAAGGCTCACTACCTTAAACCATGGTTAGAAATACACGAAAGCACTTCACAGCACTATATGTGGTTATCCACATGTAGCTGAAAGGTTAAGAGACTTACTGAAGGTCACAGAATAAATCAGTGGCAGAGGCAGGAAGAGAGTTCCAGAATCTCTTTTTTCCCAATTATTTGCTCAATCATGGTGTCTTCTGTTTATGTCTATGACAGAAGACAGGTGCCATTTTAGGAAATAATCTTCGCTCCACCTTAGAGTCATAAAAGGCTCCAAAAAGATAATTTAAACTGCCATCCCTGGTGCCACTAACCTCTTTAACTTCAGACAGACTGATCACCCTTTTCCTTGCTCCACACACCTGATCCAAATATTTGCTGAGCAAAACCTTTTCAGATAGAAAGTCTGTCCTAGTAATCATTTTACGTGCACATATTGGTATCTGACAAATATTTTTTTGCCTATTTTTTATTAGTTTGATTTTCAAGGCGGTAATTTGTTCTTGACTTGTTTTTTCCGGAGCTTTTCAGTGTATTCCCAGGATCTTCAGGGCAGTGCAGTAGTGCACGCAAGCCCCATTATCTTCAGTAGTTAGGGTCATTACAAGTCTTTTAGATGGTGGCAGACTGTACTTCACATGGCACTCTTGAAGTTAATGAACATATGTGATTTGCATGTTGAGGGAAGGCACACTTCTTCCCTTTGTGTGACTTTCCCTTTCTTGGGACATGTCTGTCATGCTTAATGAAGGGAGCTTGTTGTTCAGAAAGGGGAGGAAGAGCGCATAAGATAGCAGAATGGTGGTTATATTTCTTTTTGTAAAAAGAGTATTTTTAAGCTCATTGTTCCTTTTGACTCCATGTCAGAGAATGTTCTATGAGCTAATTAGCCATGGGTTTTGTCCAGCATAAGAATTATGATGTCCTAATTCTTGCTACTAAGCCAGTCCCAAAAAATTTGGCTGGAACAGTCAGAAATCACGGGGAAGGCATATAGTAACCTAGATTAAGTGTGTAAGCATTCGAGAAGTGACCACTTTTACTGAACCTAATCGGTTCCATAACTTCTGTAGAGATTCAATGAAATCATAATTAGCACCTCCATAAAATTGCCCTTCGAACCTATTGATTCCTAACCAACTTGCCGGAAACCATGTTCATTATATGGACTGTAACAGCAGTGGCTAAACACCAAGTGTGTAGCAATACCAGAGCTGGACCAGAATCTTCCTGGTGCTGAAGGAGGCTATAACAGAGTAATCAAAACAAGACGATTTTGTTGCTCTTAGTTATATGGATCTGTGTGCTCAGGTGTCTCCCGCTGGCCTCGATTCTGCAACTACTAAGCACCCCTTCGATTAGCAGAGCATGGTCATCTCTTGCTGAAGTCAGTAGCAGTCCCCCCACGCAGTACCGCACAAGAGAGATGACTCCGTGCAGGAAAAGTCATCGAGGCTGAAAAAGAGTAAACACGTTTTAAAAGAAAACAAACTCTGTGTTCCAGAGTCAATGACGCATGCTCTTTGAACTTTCTTTTGAAATTGGTCTGAAATCATAAGGTTGTTATGGTGTAGTTTTACTCAAAATAATGCATATCATTGTAACACAAGCCTTGAAGTTAAGTGGCTACTTTAATGAAACATAGTTACCATAGTTACCGGAGGAGAACAGAGAATAACTTTTAGTTCTTTTGAAGCTATGAATTAGTTTAAAAAGAGGAAAAGGAATAAACAAGCATGCAGAAGTTTATTATTCAGCGTTTCATGCCTGATCAGCTCTAAAAAAGAACTCTCCCTAGACTAGGGTATTAACATTTTCCAGCTGAAATCTGTAATTGCCCATCAACAAACACAAAATTACATTTCAACTCTTCAGTATGTCTGTTTCCATGTTTTTTCCTGAGTCAAAGAAACAGATTTTTCCAAAGTTCTGCTTTCAGTATTTTGTTACTAACCAACATTTTACAGCCTCTTGGTTGCTAAAAAAATAATGTCCTAAAGGCAATAATACATTGCTAAACACAACTCATGAAATCTATTGTCTAGCTCTATTATTCGTTAGAAACACTATCTTAAGGCTGATGAGAGGGAAAACGAGAATTTATCATAGTGAAGATGTCTTCTAGGACCAGCTTCATTGTTTTTCAGTTTAGCATTGAGATGTGTTCTATCCCTGAAGTGTTAATGGAGGTCACTGCTGTTGCTCTCCTTTACTGTGTCAAAGCAAAGGAGTTCCTACATAGTTGACTATTGAGAAACAAAATGATGTTCTTTCCAGTATATCACCTTCAGCTTATGAGCCTCTAGAGCAGCAGTGATTAACAGGACTTTTACAAAGTTTCTGTGTAGTTACAAGGACAGCTTCAATCTTCTGTCATTTTTTTGCATTAGCTATGATTATGCTTTTACCACCAAAATGCATTTATTTTAAAGGTAACAATACAGACTCAGAGAATAGCTTATGTTTCATCTATATTTATCAGCACTCACTGTACATTTGTGTCTTCATTACCAGGAAATATTAAGGGACATTGTGCCATCTATTCCTGTTTACAGTTTATTATGCAGAGATAGGAAACACTTAGCATGTAAAATGAATGTAGAAATTATTCCTGGATAGAAACACGGACATTTCCCACTCGTTGGCTCTTTCTCCTCCATCACCGGATCAGAGTGTAATTGTCAGTAATCAGGCCTGCTTGCTGCTGATAAAACCACTCTGAATGCTAGCAGCCTTCTTTGTGTGATGACTCAATTATTCCAGAAGTGCCTCATCAAATCTGCCCCATCAGCTGGGCTAATAAATAAGGAGAAGAAACTGGCCCCCCAAAGCAAATTATAAATCCATTTGCATTAACCATTTCGCTGGTCCATGATCTAGGCAGAAATAAGCATGGCAGATTGTGTTAAGCTTATTTGAATATGTTTATAATGTTTACAGCATGCAACCTTTTTTTTTTTTCACAAGGTGTTGGAATTATCGGTCATGAATAGCATCTAAATGCAGTTATGTTAATTACAGCAAAGCCTCAGGCATCTTTGAGAGATAGTTTGTTGCTTAAATCAGGTGAAAGTTAAACCCTTCTGCCAGGCGAAATACGATCTTGCACATGGCATTGGAATTACTGACGTGTTTAAAAGGGAGGATGAGTGCAAGGGATGTGTTTCTACAGGTACTGGAAGGACAACTGACTGTGTTACAAGGCTGTCTTGTACTGGTAATGTGGCCTCCTGTTCACCTCAGGGTAGAACTAAGTTAAGATAAAGTTTAGCCTTATAGTTGGGAAAGAAAATGCTATAGTTGAAACAGCAGTAGTTCTTTCTTGTGTATTCTGAGCTTAATAAAACAAGTGAAAAGAGCAGTACTCTGCCCCAAGGAAATTCTTTTCTGAAGCCCAAGTTATATAAAAATGATGTTTCCAAGTAGACTCCTTCAGATTTCCAAGACTGCCCATGTGTACTGCAGTGAGGGCGTTAAAGTGAAGCATCAGAAGGCCAAATGAAATTCATTTGTTTACTCATGTGCTGAACATTACACGCACTCTTAAGGGTCTCATTGAGGTGACCCGTAAATTGGTGCAGAACTTAATGTGTAAAGTTATGTACTTCAGCCTGTGTGGGATAAAGATCTGACTGCAGTCAAGAGTTTGATATATCCTCACTTGTTTGTAACGGCATCTTTCATTTTCACGTATTTTTTTTCTCAAATACGAAATAGTTTGTGTCATTTTATCTTGAGACAGAGGAATCACTGTCACTGTAGAAGCACGAGAAATATTTAGCGATCATAATGGTGAACACACTGGATTTTGTTTCCTTATCTGTTACTTCCATCCTGACTTAACAAATCGTAAACTGTTGTGATCTTTCATATTCATATTTGCAATGTATCAACTAGTGATGTGGTAAATGAGAGAAAATCAAATTCATCTGTTGGAAATGATATCCATTGTGCTCAAAAAAAGTTCTTAGGGGTTGTTTACAGATCTATTACAGCCTTGTGTCCTGCAATTCTGACAGAGAAAACAACTTTGGACTTTTGGTGAGATAAATTTAACTGCAGAATATGTCTTTTCTCATTATTAAATCCTAAGGAACTCTCGCATAATCTGACCTGAATCAGTGGACTTTTACCCACAGACAATGGGTCAACGAGAATGGTTGCTTGAAGGGATTTGTCACACACATATGATGTTAAGGATCAGGGCCCAAACGGTGATTCACATCAGTATCCTGGTATGACTCATGGATCTCAGTAGGATGGCACTTCGGAGTCAGTACAAAATCACGTTGCACTGGAAATGGCTATAAACCAAAGAATCAGTTGCAAAGGTTCCAGGTGACTTCACTGAACCATTACATTGACAAATCAAGCAAGTCATTTATTCCATCTTTGTAGGTTTATAAAGTTTATTATTCTAGTTGAATTGAGGTGTTGGCTGAAAAGGGTGGAGGTTTTCTTCGTAGGCAGGAAGACTTCACCTTCAGGATTAAAAAGTTCTGTTTAGAAATACAAGGAGTTGAAATGTAGGTATAATTTGCAGCCTGTAAATCCTTCTGAATTCTTTACTAAAATGGACAAATAAGTTAATGCAAGCTAAGAATAGATTGGGCCCAATGAAAATATGTCTGGACCTAAGGAGAGAGATGCCACCAAAGAACCTTGGTGATCAAATAAGTAAGTTAGCTCTACCTGATTTCCATCAGCAATGATCTTATCATCAAAGTTGCCGATAACCTAGATGAATATTCTTTATGGGCTCTTGAGGCTGAGGTCTTAATTTTTCCAGTTGGCATTGCAGACTGCTATCTTCACTTCTTGCAATGCCTCTTAATTTGGCCCATGATTAATTTTATAGTTCACAAAATATACTAAAATAAAGTGTTTCTCAATAACTATTGTATAAGTTCTTGATGTTAATGTGAAATCAGCATTAACTCTTTTTTGCTACCTGAAGTATCAGATCCTAGCACTTCTATTTGAAATGTAAGTCGTTTCTTGGAGTGTGGACAGGGATGACGCATAGTTTATATTGCATTAGGGGTATGTCACATCCCATGACACAGCATAATCCTACACACCCTGTTTATAAGATGACAGAAGCATGACATTGTATTTCACTTTTTATGAAACACCATATCTTCAAATGTGGGTACTCACCCACGAATCAGCTGTATGGCAGCCAGCACCCTGTTATGTGAAAGAAATAGAAAAAAGCACATTTAAACTTACTAACTAAAAACTTCTGTTGTAATTACACACAGAAGAGGGGTTCAGGTTTTGTGCTTTATATAAAGTCTCGCTTTTGTCCTACTATGGCACTCTCTGCTTTACAAAGATAGCTGATGATGTCGTGTGCAAGGCAGATGGGAGTAAAATAGCAAATGGCACTGTTGCATGTAGTTTTCCAGTACAATTTTAAAAGCTACCCCCCAGCCCCGACCCAGCCCAGACTTCTTTTCTCAAAAGGAGGATTGTCAATGTATTAGCTTATTATGTAAAGTTAAATGTGAAAAGTTTTGTGTATTTTCCTGTCCTTTGTGCACTTTTCCAAGTGGATCTCAGCTGTGCTGTCTTAACTCTTGGTCCCTTAGGATGAGAGAGACAGCAGATGGGGTTAGGGCAGAGGGCTGATGCTTCTGACAGCAAACGGCCTGGTAGTTGAGTGGAAGCTGTGAGCGTCAGGAAGCTCCTTTTCCCCAGAGAACCAACTAACCACTGAAGAAAGTTGAAAATGAGCCCTTTGAGAAACGCTATTAAAAGTAGTAAAAAATTGCAATTGTGCAGATGATGTGCTGCTGTGTGGTTATTCGGATGCTAATGAGTTTGACATTAGGGAACTCAAAGGGTTTACAGCTACTCCCTTATGTGATTTAGTTCTTTATTGACAATCTTTGAGAAAATAAATGAAAAATATATTGCTAATAAGTACATAACATGATAGGATTTTAGACAAAAAGCTGCTAAGGTTTAGGCTTTAGAAAGAGCTTTGTTCACCATGGTAGCTATTCTCAGAGATCTTTTGTTTTAGGATAGTGTATTTTGAACAAAGAGGAAGAGGCAGGTAGAAAGCTTTAAGACTGCTTTTTTTTTTTGGCTTTTTTTTTTTTCCATGGATGTTGAAATAGAATAATGGGGAAAGAGGCCTTTGAGGATAAACATCTTTTTCCAGCAACATATTGGTTAGAAAACTGCTTAAAAAAATCTTTTTGGTACTGGGCTGTTCTGTTCTGAGTTTTCTCCCTTCTTTATCATCTCGCATCTGTTGTTCATTTTGCTATTTGATAAAAGCTTGTTTATTTTAATTAAAAGTTATTGATGGGATGCAACTAATATTCTATCTTTTGGGACTCAAGCAGAAATTAGTCACTCAATAAAATCCAGCTTCCCTGAGAATCTGTTTAGAATGAGTCTTTCCAATTTCAGAAATGTAACATCACAAATTTTACTCATAAAACTTCATCAGATATCATTAAATGAATAGTTAAAGTTTCACCTTCAAGTTCCAAAAGTTTACCTGCAAACTTTGTCATAATTGGAATACACTGAATGAATAGATCTATTTTACTAAATACACCGGCTACTCTCTGAGAGGTCCCAAGTGATAGAAAAATTTTTATGTTTTGGTCACTACTGGCAGGAGTGATGTTAAAATAAAGCCTGACCATAATAACTGTTCACGGCCAGATTTTCCCAGGTTGCATCTGCCTACAACTTTAAGTGTTCTAAGGGTTTAGGCATTCATTATTTCTGAATACAAGGCCCTCAGTATTGTACACTTAGATATAAACTTCTGCAGCTCTTCTTCCCTCACTGTTACTGTTGTTTTACCGGGAGTTTTCTCACAGAAAGGAATAAAAATCTTCTGATAAGAAAGCTGTGAGTCTACCAAACTTTAAGCTCTGATACTCAAAATTAGGAAAAAAAAAAAAAAAAAAGAGTTTTTCTACTATCATCAAAAGGTTTTAGAATGCTTCTAATTTATTTCACATCATGTACTGAACCATTGATCAATGGGGTTCTGATGCAGGAAAAACATTTGGCTGAAGTTTTCTGCACATAGAAACTGAATTTTCGTCTGTGTAAGAAGAAACTTTTCTTTCTGCCTTTTAGAAGCATAATTGAAGCCTCTATATCACATCTTTGAAAAACCACACAAGATAAAAATGCTTCTGGATTATTTGCTCATTTGATTTAAAGAGTGTCCTGTTTCATCTACATTTTGTTTAGTACAGCTGGTTTTTGTTTTTCTTTTGTTGTTTTTTTTTTTCAGAGAATGAATTTCAGGGTTATCTGTTAAATCAGACAAGGCATCTTGGGCTGAGAGAGGAATTTGATCCTTTGGAATCTGCACATATTTTCACCTGGAAACACGCAAAGGTGGGATAATCTATTTGCAAAAATGAATTTGAGTCAAAATATGTATCTGTATTAGTACTAAAATATTATGTCATTTCATGTGCAGTGTCTCATGACTATAACTATTTTTCTGGCACAGCATCTACTGTTTTAAGAACAGCAGTCTTCAACATTCAGGTATAACGCTATTGAACAATTGAAAAAGATATAAGTCTTTGCAAATACCTAGAAATTCTAGTTTTTAAGTTTCAGAACTACACTGCTTTAGCATTACATACTGAGAACACAACTATCTTTGAATCTATCTGACTCTGGGAGGAAGAATGTTTTTCAGAATGCACTGCTTAAATTTATTCTGTGAGGGATAGCTTATTTATGATTTTTTTATATATAATGCTTATTGAGGTTTTTTTAGCTAGATCTCAGTTGAGTGTGATGAAAAATTTTGACGTATTTGTAAAAGATCTCAAAGTGTCAAAGCTTTTTTTTCTTTTTGAAGATTGACATTTTATTTCTTCTAAAAAATTATATTTAGTACACAGTAGCCAAGGAAATAGTGACAGAAGTCGAACTATGTCAAAATTCAAAATCCAGAAAAAAAAAAAAACCTAGAAAGAAGGATCACACATCAGCTTGCATTGAGCTGCATTTCAGCATGGTAGACTATGTAATTTTTCTCTAAATTTAAAAAGCTAGCAGTTACCCCTTAATTTCATAAAGCTGTGGCTCTGCCCTCTAAAGCCTTGGTAAAGCAGACTAATAGAAATACTTGGCACACATTCGTTACCTAAGGGAATAATAGAACTATTTGCTGTAGTCGTTTGGCAAAAGGACATAAACATATGGCTTTGGTTTATATTCAGCACTGCCAGTTGTGCAAAGTTGCATGGATGAAGTATACAACAGCAGTGACAACTCAGAAATCAAAAGTGAGAATCAAAATAAATCATCCTCATTACAAATCTATTCAAGCTTGCCTCTGCTTTAAGGTTTATTTCGTCTCTGCATATTTTCAAGTAGTGACTTCAATATAAAAAACATTTACTTCTCAAAAACGTATACCATTCAACCACACTCTAAAATGCCAAATTGTTCATGGTTTATATGTGTTATAAACATACTTTAAAGTTTGCATTCAGTAGATATACTTGCTTATTTTAATTTCTGAGAAATGGATACATCTGAACAAATTATTTCCATGTTATTCAACTTTCTCCTAGAGAAATGAGGAATAGCATTGTGCAAACTGAAGTAAAAGTTTCAAAAATAAAGATAAGATGATGCCTTGGTTAAGAATGATCGGAATTGCAAAACAAGGCACATTTTCATTAATAGTCCTTAAAGCATCTACTTTGTAAATATTGTATAAAAAAAAAATAAAAGAAGAAGAACAAGAAACTTTAACCTGATACTAGCAATGTTCTTGAACATTTTGTCTTTGGATTATGGATCTTTTTGCTACCAGCACTCGGAATATACAAGCTTTATCTAGAGGTTGCTATATGTGTACTTTACATTTTCTCCTAGCCCTGTACTTCTCACTATCAATCTGCCGTTAATACTTCATACTAAATAAAGGTACCGTAGAGTGACAGAAAAATGTAGTGAGTACAAAAACATGCACAGACAGCCATACTGCTCCATACTTCTGGACAGGCTGTAAGAAATCCTGCTTTCAGATTTATTTTAAAAAGTCTTTTTCTTTATGACAGTATTCCTTTTTTATGTGTTAGATTCTTATATGAGTTATTGAAATGAAACATTAAAACATGAATACCAAAAAGCACTGAAAAGCTTGCTGTGAGGGTATTGTAGGGAGAGACACCCACAGTGTCATGTCACCTTGGGGCACAATGCAGCACAGATGTGTTTGTAGTGCTTAGCAATGTCTGACTCCAACTTTGAAGTTTGTGACTTGTTTTTGAGACTTGAGGATGGATTTGTGTGCTTTAAAAATCATTGAGGTGTTTTTTTTTTTTCTGGATAAGTTCCTTTAGTTTAGTGACAGATGTAACTGTTGCTTCTGTAAAAACTAAAATAGTTTACAAATTAAAATAGTAGAGAAAAACTTTTCTTTTCAGACCTCTCAAAATCAGTTAAGGTTTGTCCTAGGGAATTTGTTTGCCAAGTTTCAATTTGAAAATCAAATGTAACTTTTAGTTGGAGAATCACAACGAAATGTCAACTTTTATCTTCCTTGTATCTAGATAAACCGATATTTTTTTTTCCTCTAGCTAGTTTTGCAAAAGGAAACAGATTACCATTCCCAGAGTGTGAAATCCACACAAGTCATGCTTGTACAAATAAATTAGAAAACGTACTGCTCTTACATTAGCTCTTTCCAGGAGGTGCATTTCACTTTTACCTATGTCAGCAGTACTGACTTCCTCAAGTTGTAGTTTACTTCACAATAATGTGCTGTGAAACTATTTTACCAAGATAGTAGTATCAATTTAGTTTCTGAAATTCAGAATTAAAAATGTGCAAGTAAACTGAAATAGTCGTTGTTATTATTATTATTACCATTTATTTGCACATGCCCTATTTTCAGCTGTTAGTCATATTCTTGGATCCAATTATAATATCTGTACATGCACATGTGCACAGATAGACTCCAGGCACACAAAAAACTAAACTCGGAGCCAAATCCTGATTCTGTCGCTCAGGGAAGTATTTCCAGGTGCTGCTCTCCAGTCCGCTGACTGCAGTGGAATGGTACAAACAGAAGTAACATTTGATTTCTGCAGCCAGGAACTCTGAAATAGTTTGCTCAGAAAGCATGATTGCTGCTATTCCACCAGTAAATTCATCTGGAGAAACATGAATACCCTGTAGCAGTCACATAGCAAGTTACTCCATTTTCAGCCAAGCAGAATTTGTAGTATCGTTGGTGAGTCCAATCAGTTTTCTGAGATCTAGTTGTTGACTTACCCTCAAGTTTCAAATAATATTGAAGGAAAGCTGGATAGAGGATCATATTGAAATTCTTGAAGTGAGACCGAGAGCGTTCATAAACTTAGTGAGATTTGTTGGAAAATACTTTCAGAAAATAATTCAGCATTAACATCCTCAGTAAACTTCCACATCACAGAAATATAGCACAACTGAAGGAATTCCAAGGCAAGCATTTATTTCTTAGCCTGATTGCCTAATGATTTGGGACTGCATAACTGCTGTCCCTCTGTCACTGTGTTTATGACTGTATATCTCCCACTTATTCTTTCTGAGTCTATCAACTAGTTTCAAATAATTTTGAAAATAAAATGTTTAGAGGGGCTAAAACCCCATCAAATCAGAGAATCTAGGTATAAGATATAAAGATAAAATGGAATTAATTCCACTGTTCACTTGCCGTTTTTATGAATCTTGCCCTTAAAAACATGGGACTTCAATTCCCAATAAAATTTTCTTGGCAAGCACTTACATATTATCCTGATGGTCCCGATGGCTAAAAGCATTAGCTTTGTGCGAGAATTTTGTGCATTTATGACCATTCCATTTATCTTTTATGGCTTCTTGTCTTAAGATAACATATGTACTGGGAGGGAGGGCTGACCATCCCCAGCTTTGAGAGCATGAAGCACCTTCCAGAATCCTTCCAATCTTTACTACACAGCGGTAATAAGATGTGTCTCTCAAACTAGCACCTGGATAACAACTAGTTCTAAAAACTTCGGATGGAATTTCTCGCTTAGAGTTTAATTATTTTGTTGTTCCATGAGTGATTTAAAAGTTTAACTACTTCTTGCTGATCATCTGTGGCTGTAATTTCATGTAAATCACTATGTAGATAAAAATCAGAAGTTAGAAACTTAGTTCACTTTTTTCAGTATCAGGCAGTCTCTGAAGCAACTATCAAAACCCAAAGATATTACAGTCAAATTTTGAGCAAGAGAGGTCTTTGTGCTGATGCACTTAAAATATTTCAAAATTTAATTCAGTTACTTTTGTATAATTTTCAAATTAATGCATGGCACTTTTGGTAAGTGAAGGTGGTTTTTATGCAATACAGACACAATGATTATTTTAATATGTGGTATGAACCAGGCTAAAGAGTCCTATAAATTTTAGATTTGAGTTGATTAAACATCCCTCGTAGTTTCAAATTATTACAAGGAAAGAAAATCAATAGAAAAAATCACCTGCATTGATTTTATTGTTGGTTTTCACTCATTGTGCAGTTTTAAATATTCATCACAATGCAATGTGCTATTTAGACCAAAGTAACTGCTGTTCAGTAGAAGCAGTGGACATTTTTTGTTTCATAATTAAAAGAGCAGCACTGTGATTGGTGTGGTATTTATTATGAAATGATGACAAAGGAGTACCAGTGGTTTTAATAGTTTTAGCTTACAGGAGCTGTTGTTAATTTTGTCTGTAGAGTTGCAGGTGAAATAATGCACAGTGGATAAATAGTCTATATTGGTTTAACTGAACATAATATATAGTGTGTTCTGGAGTTGTTTGTCTCAATAGACTATAGTAATCAAAAGTAATGAACCTATTATGTGCAGGACCTTGGAGAGCATAGAATGGCAGTAAAAGTGTGGCACATAAAAGGTTTATTAAAGGAAATTAAAGTCCATCATTGCCACACCTGCTCCCCTATTATAAGTCTATGGCAGGTCAGTGCCTTCAATCACAACTCAGCATCAGAGAACAGAGCCATGTTTCCCATTACCATTGCAGTCACATTGCAAAAACTCGTTCTCCAGGTTTTAAGGATAGTAAGAAGTAAAGGCTGCCATCAGCCCCGCTATGTAAACACAAGCCACTTATGTTCCTTTCTTGCTAATAATCAACATCAGATGTAAATTTAAACAAAGAAAAGATATCATTGTCTGGCTTTGAGATGCATTTCGATCAATTTATACTTTCATTTCAGATATCACTAACCTGTGTTCTAGAATTAGACTTCTTCAAGTACTCAAATACCCTTTTCAGATGCTTGTGTTCTCTCTTGCAAATAGGTATTTTGATTCCAGTAGCTGTATATAATGCGTAACCATATTTAGCAACAAACAGGAAAAAAAAAAAAAACAGGAAATTAGAGAAATGTTTTTTTTTCCCCTAGAAAGGCTGACTTTACTCTACTCTTTTCCTTTCTTAGGCCAATTTTGTCATATTCTGCATGTTCTTTCAGATAAGACCTTCAAAACATCTGAGTTATCTGAGTCATATAAAGCTAAAAATAAAGCATTCTCAGATCTTCAAACTCTATAAATAGAAAAAGGCAGAAACAGACCTTCTTGCACCTTCCCTTAGAGAGGCAAATCAGTTGCACTGATCCTCAGAAAGGAAGAGTGAAATAATAGACAGGATCTTCTGATTACATGATTTTTTATCTTGTGACCTTTTGCAGGGAAAGATGCCAGACATAGGCAACTTCTGGTATCCCCAGAATGCCTTTCTACCTATTGCCCAACACAGTTATATAAATCAGATGCCAATGTCTGCATTTGTTCCTGCATATTGATCTGCAGGAGCACATGGGAGTTACTTCATCTACAGTATGTTTGATCATCACCATTTTGCAAATACAGAAACTGAAATTCAAAGCAAAGAGAGATAGTAACATACTACCATAGACTGAAAATAACTTCAGAGTTCCTGACATTTTGCCTAGACAAAAATTCCTTGTGAGAGAGTCTTGCTTACATAAAAACGAAGAGTTACTTTCAGAAAGAAGAGGAATTTACCTCCCTGGACATGGTCAAAATTACACTGTTGTGCAACCTGCTGTATGTCACTGCAACTCTCTGCACCAGAGTACGAAATCTTAATCCTTTTTGAATTTCAAGGGTTTGTAATAAAATCCATGGATTGAAAACCTGCCCCTACAATTATGGGTCTGGGCCAGATCCAAGACCAGAAGGTGCCTATTTCCAGTGCTGGTTCAGATGTAGCTGAAAGTGTCATGAGAACAACTGATCTTGAAAGGTGTCTTCTATTTCAGTTAGAAACCTTACAGTAAAGGCTGACTTTTTTGGAATTTTTCGGTGGAATTTTTCGGCTGTTGGTTTGTTTCCTTTTTAATGTGAAATACAAATCTGGACAATGAATTCTTCCAAAAACTCATACAAATCTGTAACCATCTCTTTGACCAAAACTTCTGTAAGTAGTTGATTAAGTAGTGAAGTATTTCAAAGCTATACGTATGCAATTATGCACATTCAAGCAAGAGGGTTTCACACTTAAAGGATGAAGCGGTCAGAAATGCAGGTTCCAACGCAGCTATTAAGATATGCTTCAGTTACAACAACAATGCAGAGTGCCTGTACGCACTGTGGCTTTCTGGGACCTTTTCTTCCAGGAGGTGGGTGTTGAAAGCAGCATTTATCCAGCATTGCTGTTTCTCACCTCATGCCTTCAGCTAACACCTGTAGACCTTGTCATTAAACCTTACAGAGTCACTCATAACCATCACTTTGTTAAACAAATCTGTATCATTAAAGGTATCTCCTAGGTATTTACTAGATATTCACAGATGGCTTTTTATCTCTTTGACAAGATTAATAAGGCATGATTATTCTTCTTTCTATTACTGTCTAGCCTTTGGAAAAGTGAAAAAAAAAAAGCATTTGAGATTTTTTTTTCTCAATGGCAAAAGGAGTGAACTAAAGACTTTGTGTTAATATTACAGATGGATGCAGATGGGGAAAATAAAAAGCTGCGCACTCGCTCAAAAGGAACCAAGGGTGAGTTCGCAAGCACGTTCCATGACCCTATGCCCAACACACCATGAAATATTCCTGTGCACAGCCCCTAATGTGCAGTAAGAGAGTGTGTAGCTTCCTTAGGGCTGCTTTTTTAATCAAGGCAGGGCATAGACTGCTGGCATTAAGAGGCACGATGTTATTAGCTATGGTTTAAAGAAAAGTAGAAAAAAAATCTACTATATGCTATTTTCTTTGAGTTATTTCTTGAAGAAAATTAAAGTTATACTTTTTACTATCCAAACGAAGATTTTCCATAGGAAGTAGAGCTAGACAATATTGAACTGATGCTTTGAAAATAATGTACAAAACTTTGTCTCAGCCAACTGAATGTTTTTCTGTCTATTGCCATTAATTATCTGTAAATTAGCTGAGTAAATGGTCTAGAAGTAAATTTGCTTCAATCAAAAGGTGCAGGTTTGTTCGGCAGAAGAACACCCTGTGCTTTTATTAAGTACTGGTACTTGTGTTTCATTTTGCAAAGTTATGATATAGTTGTATTTCCCAGCTATTCCTTTCTTTTCGTAAGGAACAGATGGAAATGCAGTACTGAGAGATAAACAGGCCCTTAATGATCTCAACATCTGGAAAACATGATTGACTAGCAATACAGCCCTTCCAGGAAAATAACTTTTTATTTTAATTCATAACACTTTTTGTGACTCTTGATAATGAGTGAGAAATGGAGATACTTAAAAATAAATGTCAAAGTTTTGCCTGCCGTGTGAGTATTTTTGCTTATGACTATTTTCAGAGGAGCAAAGCACCCATCCTTCACTCTGATTTTAATGTGAATCGTGCACTCTCGGGATTGTGCAAAACAGACTAGTTTGATTCATCATCACAACTCAGGATTTCTAGATTGTTAATTCTGTGCCTTCAGCTTCAAGTTGTGGTCAGAATGAAAAATTAAAGTGTGGTTTGACTTAGTATTCTAGTTTCAAATGATCAAAGAGGTGAAAAGTACTAGAGTTCACTTAGGAAAAGACAAAGGAAGGGATTGAGAGTGCCACAAACTGCCCACAGACAAGGCCTTAAATACAGACAAGCCTTTCGAAAAGCCATAAGCATTGTCATATCAAATATTTGATGCATCCCTGAGTAATGTTCTCTGAAATTAATGTAAAATTCCTAAATACTTCAAAAGTACCAGATCAGAGGACTTAAAGTTATTGAATAAGGAAGTTATTCACACCTCAGCATTAGAGTGTGTCTTCTCTTTTGATCAGAGTTTTTTGGTGAGTTAAAACAGTCTGGCTGGCTTAGTAGACTTTAATTGTATTTAATAGGGGATTCATACTTTTCATTCAAAAAGCTAATAATACATTTTTAAAACTTAGGGATTTTCTTTCTCTATATTTTTTATACACATGCACACACATCTATAGAAATTAACAGATCAGGAACATTTTCCCAGAAGTGGAAACAACAAAAGCTGCCTGTGCAATATGAGTAATCCTTAGAACCACCTGTTGACTTGGTCAATACGCTGTATATCATTGTGTGGGCGGATATTTATAAACACCAGCCTTTGTTATTCCCAAATTGAATTAAAATTTTTTAAAAAGCAGATATTTGTCATTCTATTTTCAATAAAACCAAGTGTGTTCTCTTTTACTTTTATATTTTCTTATTATTTTTCTTATTGTTCCACTGAACATGATACTTCAGGCTTCATGCACCCTAAAATGACTGTGAGAATTATACATTCAGTTAATGTTTGCCACTAGTAGCTACGGTCCTGTGGTTGGCATGAAATAATCACCTGTGTTTTGGTGGCCGCTCCTCTGTCATCACAGATAGGCAGGTGCAAGGTTGTAGGAAGCACAAGTCTGAAAGTGTAAACTAATTCATTCTCTCCTGCTTTTATTAACAGTTCAAGTGGACTCTATAGCTCAAGAGCTCAGGTAAGAACTCACGTTGTTTATTTTTTCATTTTTATTTTCTATTATATCGATAATTTCATGGTATTGCTATGAAATAGAGACTCAGCAAATAATGCATTATGTAGAGATTTAGCATAGATCTGACAAAAGGTACTTGATGCAGATTCACTTTTTAGATATACCAAAAATAAAAGCAGAATGTTAGCATTAATTATGCAAGCATAACCAAAAGTAATGCAAAGTGGGCAGGATTCTGGTATGCTGTCTTTATCTACAGCCTGTGTCAGGGCACAAAACAAGAGAGTATAGCTTCTGATCAGTTTTTCGTCTTCTTTTTCCTGTAATAATTATTATAGTATTTTAACATCTGAGCATTCTAAGGGATATTAACCTTTACAAGGTTTTATTAGACGGCTTTTATAAAACTGATAGTCTCTGTATAGTACTGTGAATTCTAAATGCATTAATGGTTCATTCTGCCTCAAGTACTTGCTGAGGTTCCATATTTTATTGAAGGAGCAGAGAGTACTTTTCAAATTTGCGTAAAGCATAGCAGTCCATTCAAAACCAGAAATTCTGCAAGGATATTTCAGGTCACCAATAATCTAGTAAAATTTTAACATTACTGCTTTAATTTCACTAATGTGTGCATCAACTCCTAATAACTGGTCCAAGAGCTTAGAACAAACCCTGGAAAGACTGGTATATTATTCAGGACCAAATCTTCAAAAAGAACACGTGTCGTCGAATTCAAGTTTTCCTTGGGACAAGTTCACTCTTCATGTTCTGCAAGGGAAATATTTACAAGTAGCTACAAATTCCTAGAGTTATTAATGAAAGTTACAATGGACTACAGCTACAATATAAATACTGAAAACATTTTTGTGAAAACTCTTAAGAGTTTTTCTTAATTTATTTTGCCTACACTCGCCTTTCAT